GCGGTGCCACCGGCTTGGGCCCGCCATCGCTGCTCGCAGCTATATTTATTATTATTTTACTACCTTTTGGGCACTTTTGGGGCCCTTAACGTGCTCGAAAACTCTTGAAACTTTGCACACGGGTCAGAACCCGCGGCCATCAGAGCCGGGCTGAAGCTGGTACCCGGGCGTGGCAGGGGGGCTCGTCAGCGCCCCCTGGAACGGGGTCCAAACACTCGGTCCATAACTCAAACACGCTTGCATGTAATAATATGAAACTCGGTACACATGTTGATCTCATCGTTTCATCTATACCTCGCGCTCTTTACTTTTTACCCCAGCCCAACAGGAAGTCGGCTATTGAGGTTTGTTTGTAAAACGCTCGCAATGGAATGTCAAATACTCCTCCTAGAGCTTTGATCCAAATTCGACGAAACTCGGTCAGCGTGAAGTCAAGACATTGAGGATGAAAGTTTGCGAGGGGATTTTTGATATCTCGAACGGTTTGTCCGTGGCGAGGAAACGAAATCATGGCGAGAAACGTGAAACAGGAAGTGTGTTATAACTTCAGCATACATTAACTGATCTTGATGAAACTTCAGCAGTGTGTTCGCTGTAAGAGGACGATCACATGGATGTGACTATTGTGAGTCAAAGTTATAGCGCCACCAACTGGCAGCAGGAAGTGTGTCACTTTCAAAATGCTTTGATATCACCCTTTTATTTTTACCCGATTTGCTTCAAACTTCATATGTATAATGTAAACATACGGCAGATGTAGACCTGTGAATGGATTCTTGATATCTTTGAAACTGTTGCCGTGGCGACGCATCAAACTTTACCCTTCTTTTAGGATGCTTTTAGGATGCTTTTGAGACCCTTAGCATGCTTCAAATTGCATGAAACTCGACAGACACATCACATTTATTAGCCAGTAGACATGTGCAAAGTTGCAGAAACGGGCGTGGTGAGGGCTCAGTAGCGCCACCTTTTGACAAAAGTGGGGTGGTTAGTTTTAACTAGAGTTACAAAAATTGGTATGTATATTGTACTCCTCGAGCCGGACAACTTTCTAATTTACACTTATTAGCTAGGACCCACAGAAACTCAGATATTTTTGTTTGAATATGGCCACTCTGAGCCTTTGGCTGGCTGGCTGGCTGGCTGGCTGGCTGTCTGTGTGTGTGTGTGTGTGTGTGTGCAGGGGGAGGGGGCTTAACCATTTCACTGCTGTGTGTATGACCTGCATAAAGAAAATACATTTCTCAAGCCTGGTATTTTTTAAATAAGTTTTTATTTTTATTTTTTATAAGTAAAGGCATATAACTAGTTTAATTGTAGTGAATTGACAATAGTTTTATATAATTAGTTTATTAATCAGATTAACTTGGTCAATAAACTTGGTCTGAAAATTTGGTCCATAAATCAAACACACTTGCATGTAATAATATGAAACTTGGTACACATATAGATCTCATCGTTTCATATATAGCCTACTTCACACTCTTACTTTTTACCCCAGCCCAACAGGAAGACGGCTATTTAGGGTTGTGTTTAAAACACATGCAATGGAATTTAAAGTATTGCTCCTAGAGCACTGAACCAAATTCGACAAAACTCGATCAGCGTGAAGTCAAGACATTAAGGATGAAAAGGTGCCAAGGGATTTTTATATCTCGAACGGTTTGGCCGTGGCGAGGAAACGAAATTATGGCGAGAAACATGAAACAGGATGTGTGTTATAACTTCAGCATACATTAACTGATCTTGATGAAACTTCAGCAGTGTTTTCGCTGTAAGAGACCGATCACATGGATGTGACTATTGTGAGTCAAAGTTATAGCGCCACCAACTGGCAGCAGGAAGTGTGTCACTTTCAAAATGCCGTGGCAACGAAACAAACTTTAACATTATTTTTTGATGCTTTTGGGACTCTTAGCTTGCTTGAAATTGCTTGAAACTCAACAGATACATCACATTTATTAGCCAATAGACATGTGCAACTATGGCAAAAGATTAAAGTAATGTCAAAAAAGTAAACACTAAAAGCCTCATATCTTCTAAAAATGTAATTATACATCATTTGTTTCTAAATTAAATTATACAAATATTATAACTTCCCCAATTTTTCCTTTTTTTCATTTAAGAATTATGTTTACGTTCAAAAACAGCCAGAATTGTTGTAAAATTCATAAAAAAATAATAATCTGAGTCATACGTAGTGCTATACTGCCCTCTTGTGTTCAATATCAGGTAGGCCTATTGTGTATATTCCCACCGGTTAATCAACGTGTGACTCCGCTGGGACTTGGGAGCTTTTAAATCGCTTACTTAAAACCGAAAGTCGAAATACGGATGTCCGCACAAGACATTAATGGTGTGGAGTAGAGCGAGCATTTTAAATAAATTCCTATTAAGTAGGATTGAACTAAACAGAAAGAATGTTCACTCTGTTCTGCTGGTTCCTCGCTGGTGGATCATATGATTACTTTGTCATAATCTATGACAAAAATGCTATTATAAACCATATTAATAATAGATAATACACATTGCTCTTATTTTTGAAAAATACATTCATGAAAAACAAGATAACAAAAATCATAAAAAAATATAGCCATGGCTGCTATAAATGTTTGAAATGCATAGGACAGATGTTTAATGACGCAGCAACATATAATTGAAAGGCAATTAATAATCTGTCATTACGTCACTGCATTATGATATTACGGCTCCAATACGGTGCAGCACAAAGCACTTATGTGCATCCCGAGCGGAGAATGATGTGCTTGAAGCCACATGAAGTTACAGCGCAGTGAGTCCGTATTGAAAAGTTCAAAGCACAAAGGAAATACATATTTATGAACAGTGTATTATACATTATCTATCTATGCAATAGTTTATTGAGCCTTTTCTTTTAAAGGTTTTAAATTTCAGTTACTGTGTGCGTGAAGAACAATTATAGTGCTCTGACTCTAGTGTTGTGATCTAACCGACAGCGTCCGACACCCGGTAGAAAGTAACACGGTTAAGTTACAGCAATAAAGTCCAGCAAGAAAAAGTTTCTTCATTCGAAAATATAGACCTTTAGACCTTTATCTTAAAGATCCAGTATAATAGGATTAACATTCAATCATCTTGAAGATCGTTTCATCATTGACTGTAACCGAATGTGACGTGCTGTTTGAATGCTGAATGGAGAATGACTGACAGGCGCAGAGAGGGAAAAGTTTGTGTTCTTGAATTTAATGACTTAAATATTAATTTCTATATCACATAATAGCTTCAGAACACTAATAATACAGTACACAAAACTTTATGGTACTTTAGAAAGTTTTTGTGCCTTTGTGCCTAACATAGAATAGTATATATGCACAATATAGAATTTGAATCAGCCTCGTCAAAGATGGCAGTGTCAGAGCCGATACCGATCCTGAGTATCTAATCGGCGCACTTCTTTTCAACAGTCAAATTGAAATTGAAATTGCTTGAAACTCAACAGATACATCACATTTATTAGCCAGTAGACATGTGCAAAGTTTCAGAAACGGGCATTGTGCAAGGACTAAATAGCGCCACCTTTTGACAAAAGTGGGGTTGTTAGTTTTATCTACAGTTACAAAAATCGCTATATACATTGTACTCCTCAAGCCGGACAACTTTCTAATACATAGTCATTAGCTCGGACCAAGAGGAAGTCAGATATTTTGGTTTGAATATGGTGAGCCTCTCTCTGAGCCTACGTCCTGTATGGCAAGCATTTTAACATTTAAAAGCTAAGTTTGCCTGTCCGGAATTAACATTGTAGATATCACAACGTCTTTCTGTCTATTCGTAATTACATTTGGATAGTTTGTATTATCATTTAAGATATCTGTAACATAATTGTGACTAGTCGAAATGACAGAGTATGGCAAGCCGTTTTAACATTTAATCATAAAAGGGGCCAAAGCCTTCGGCACCGCCACCCGGGTGCATTTAGGTAACTAAAGGAACCGGGGTTGCGGTGCCACCGGCTTGGGCCCGCCATCGCTGCTCGCAGCTATATTGTCACATTGATTCGCTCAATAGCGTTTCAACCGTGGAAAGACGTCA